ACATTTCCAATATTTCGATATACATTACCAGTGTTTCCCGTACATTGATTTGTTTGAGGCATTTGACTTCGTTGAATAAACATGAGCACTGCATGTTTCAAAATCATATTTCAGATTAATGCTGTTCTTCTGAACTTTCTATTCATCAAAGAAATCTAAAAAAATTATACTTGGCTGTTTTCAACATAAATGATTTTTGAGCAGCAAATCAGAATATTAGAATGATTTCTGAAGGATCATGTGACTGGAGTAATGATGCTAGTAGTGTATGTTAGCCTATAGTTTGAAGTTAAAGATATTAATATTAATTAGGAGAGTCTGAGACGATTATTTGACAGTGATTTCACATTTCTTGTTTGTATGAAGGCTAAATACAAATAAAAGGTGAACATTAATTTATTTGTGCTGTTTTTTTCTCTAAAATATTATATGGTTTTATATGAGGTGTCACAGACTTGGCAAATTAATTTTTCATAAGTTTGTATGCACAGACATCTGTTGTGGGCGTTCTTGGCAGTTTTTATGAGGCTTTTTTTAATAGTGTTTATATCGATATCGGAATTATATCGTATCGACCGAAATTAAGAAATATATTGTGATATAAATTTTGGCCATATCGTCCAGCCCTATGATTACATTAATAAAACAAAAGATAATTGAATTATATACTTAACATTTACAATAATATGCTAATTTAATTTAATTTAGAAAAGGCAACATGCCATACTTTGTTAATAGTTAAATTATTTTGCTGTGGTATTGCAATAGTCATCTAAAATGGCCAATTAATATAATATAATCTCTGGTATCAACTAGGGGTGTGCAATATTGACAAAATAATATCTCGATATTTTCTGGGATTTTATCAATAACGATAATTAGACGATATTTTGCTGAGTGTGTTATTGTGCTGGTATCTTAAGGACTACCGTGGACAGCTGACTCCTAAAGTTTTTGATATATTTCAATTGTGATATAAATTTTGGCCATATCGTCCAGCCCTATGATTACATTAATAAAACAAAAGATAATTGAATTATATACTTAACATTTACAATAATATGCTAATTTAATTTAATTTAGAAAAGGCCACATGCCATACTTTGTTAATATTTAAATTATTTTGCTGTGGTATTGCAATAGTCATCTAAAATGGCCAATTAATATAATATAATCTCTGGTTCTGGTATCAACTAGGGGTGTGCAATATTGACAAAATAATATCTCGATATTTTCTGGGATTTTATCGATAACGATAATTAGACGATATTTTGCTGAGCGTGTTAGCCTATTGTGCTGGTATCTTAAACTTTAAATGCGAAATTAAAACAGCAGGTGGCAGCAAGTCACTGTGTTAATAAGAGAGTCATTTCGATTGAACCGAATCATTTAAACGGTTGATTCATTCAGGAACGAAACACCGTCAGAGATGCAAAACAGCGTTGTGGCTGTTTGGAATTATTTTTGTAGTCGAAATAGGGCAAAAACAGGGCATATGGTGTCCAAAACATAAGTGTCTTAATTAACTTCTTGTTTTTTTTAACTGTTGTAAAAAACCAATATCATGGTAATTTTTGGAGGAAAAAAACGACACTCTCTGTGTGATATCGATTAACTATATGAAATTATATAAATATATACATTTTCTGTCCCCATATCTTGAATTTTGTGATCATTCTAAATGCATTTTATTTGACTGAATCATGCAGTGAAAAAACACTTTAAATGAGTACTCGCAGGCTTCACGTGATGCAAGCGTGCTCTGTAGTGGTGTTTTGAAAGGTCTTTGCAAAATACTCGATAATGTTAAATCGCACATCGTTAAAACAACAATTACGGTATTATAGCAGACGATATATATCGCGCACACCCCTAGTATCAACTACTAAAACGTTGGTATCGTGACAAACCTACCCCCACGTATACACCAGAAAAACCAAAAATAGGCAGCAGACAAGGTCAGATTTGTTATGCAGCTTATCTGTAGTATAATCTCTTAATTATTATACTTAGTAAATGGAGTCCTGTTAATCTCCATTCTCCATCTCCAGTGCTGAATGTGAGTAATGCTTAAGCACACACCTTGGGAAGATGGGAAGGGCATTACAATGCATGATTAATGAGCAGAGAAAAGTAACAGTGTAGCTAAATGACTGCATCCCTGTCTCTTTTGTTTCAGAACACGTGTCACGCAGGACCGACTGATTACAACTAATCAGATGAACAGACAATGAGACACCCTAATAAAGTGATGCTCCACAAGACAAGGGATTTCTAAAAAGGGTCATGTTTATGGCTTAATTATTTCATCTTCTGTTTGTTTTTGGGTTTTTTTGCACCAAAACGAGTCATTTTTATACGGCCATTTTCCACCCTCTCTGTGACCCTTAGAATTAAACAGGCTGTTCATTGCTGCAGTTTAGCTATATGTGTATATAAGTTTGCTATACACTACATTATAATAAGCACTGTTAATGTGTAAATGTGGACAGTCAAGTGTTGTAGGTTTCTGACGTTAGAAATCCAACTATTTTAGAATGAGCCAACCAAAAAAATAGTATTTTTAGACCAGAAAAAATTGCCCTAATGACAAGACCCCTTTAAAATATTTATTTAGAAAACATAAATTTGAGATATAAACTTAATTATGAAAATATTATATAAATAAAAGTACATAAAATAAAAAAATTAATGTAATTGTTTGGAAATGTATTCTAATGTGTTCTCCTCACAGAGAAAAAAAAAATCATTGAGTCAAATCTTAATGTGTGGGCGACATACTTTGTCTCCATGTCCTAAGTGCTCATTCTTGACTTCCACCAGGGTCTTCCAGTTTGTGTTTCCACCACCACCACCAGGTCCTCTTAACTCAGTCATCGACTGTCCATCTATAGCATGTCCTTCCTTATCATACCTGTAAACAAATAGACAAAATGCTGTCAATTATCAAAATATAAATCAGTCAGACATATGTTCATCTCTACATACAAGGCAATAGCTCATCTGTTCAGGCAGATAAGTAGCTGATATATTAACTAGATCTACAGCGAGAGAGAGATCGGCTTTAGCTAGGGAAAAACAGCAGTGGCAGCCACAGAGACGCTGGGGGCTACTTGTGAAAAGAATCAACAGTGTAGGAATGGTTCAGGGAGATGGGGTCAGGGCTGCAATGGTGAAATCAGAAACCTATTTTCACTCACGCTCCGGATTGGCTGGAAAGACGAGGTTGGAGAGACAGAATAAAAAACTAAGCTCACTCAGGATGAATCAGTGTGTCTGAGGAATCGATACAGCATTATAATCTAGAGACCACAGGCCTGGTTAACGGAGGGGTAGGATGGGGTGGATCAGTAAATACAAGGGTTCAGGGCTTGTTCTGGGAGGCACGACTAATTGAAAATATCCACGTAAATAGACAAGCGTTTGGCCCTGGCTGCTTGTGCTGTGTTTGCCAACTGAAAAATGGGTTGAATACTAAAGCATGGTCTCTAACCTTAATTTTCAGCTTCTTTGTTATATGAACGCACTTATGTACTTCCCAGAATAATTCCCTAAATATAGCACTAGTCGTGCACTGCAAAAAGGATCAGCCTACTTCTGATTAAAAAATATATTTTTTTGTCCCCAGTGTTTTCAGCACATTTCAATGGAAAGTGGATATTCAGAAAAGGCAAGCGTATTCATACGACAATGATGGTAACTGATACTACGCTGGAATAAAGCAAGAAACTAATTGTGAATCTTGCGAATGAGTCATAAAAATAAACAATACAGCAGAATAAAACAAACGCTTCAAATAGCCAAGACCTGATGGTGTGCGGTAATTGGCAGACTGAGCCTGAATGTATCGATAATGGGCGGTGCCATCAAGGAAGGCAGAATGAACACCAGAGGAGCAAATTGGAAATGGCATGTGCTTTAGAGCAGTGGAGTGACAGGCTGGCACTCAGTGCAGAGTGTCTGAACTGAGCCGAGCAGACAACAAGAGGAAAGCAGCGAGATTGAGCACTGAACGGACTTGTCAGAGGACATGAAATACTCGTGACAGGAATAGTAAGAGAGGCAAGAAAATTAAGAATCTATGAAGGAATGTCATTAACAAGTCTTGGTTGAGTGGCGTTTCTCAACGGATTGGAAAAATTGCAGTTTTTGAAAGTAAGTAATATTTACGATATTAGTTAAAAAGTTTCAGCTTGTTTCTCACACATTGCTACTGTATGGCATCAGAACACCTAGAATATAAACACTCCAGTCATACGGACTGCTTTTATGGAACTTGGCAGTATAAATCCTCTTCTGCTATATGGAAAAGAAAATAACACTGGGGTGGAATGATATGGGGGTGAGTAAACAATACCATTTTCATGTTTGGTCAACAATTCCTTTGACCTGGAAACAGCATGGCAGCATAGGTTCTCTTGAAGCTCATTGCACAGTACAATGTTCCCCAAGGACTTTGCTCATGTGTGAGCCAAGCGGAGAACCCCAAAAATGTACTTGAACAAAACAGTCACTGAAACTAGTGAGCCTTGCTTAATATCTCAAATTGAGTTTGATGGAGACATCTAGTGTAAGTACAGGGAGTGCAAGCACAGAGAGACTCCTGGGTGTGTGTTGCTTTATTCATGCTGGTTTGAAGGCTCTGACAGGTGGGGTGGAGGCAGGAGAGGTTCCGCTGCCTCCGAGAAGACTGTCGAAAATGAGCCAGTCAAAGTAATTGACAACCTATGAGTAAGAGTGCATCAGTGAACGAGAATGAATGATAATGAACAGGGTGAGAGTGGCAGAGTGAGAAGGAACGACGGGAGGCGTGACTGATAGTGGAGTATGAAGTCCACACTGCAGGAGAAGCAGACTAACAGTGGTCCTAATCTCTGACGCCATCTACTGGACAAAAGACGACTTGCATCAAAATGCTGACATAACCATCATCTAATATAATTAAGGGTTAGTTTATATACTTTATGGAAGCTTTGGCCAAATATGTACACTGACTGCTACACTAAAACCAACCGATGCGACAAAGAGCAACTGCTTGCCAATTAAACATTTTAGGAGCTGAGCATTAAAAGAACAATACGTATTCAAATGCCTATGACTTCCCAGGCTCAGACATCACAAATTCAAAATTTTCTGATATGTCCAGGTTTTCCAACTGAGAATTACACAAAATTGACATTCAATTTAAAAAAATAAATAAAAAATGTAAAAAAATAAATAAACAATCCATTGATAATATCTATTAAACAAGATAAAACAGTCAGAACCATCTCTCTCAACAAACTGTAATCATTCATGGATTATTTGCATTTAACAATCACAAAAGTAGGTAGGAACATGCATTAAATATTCCTTCAATTACTGCACAATAACTTCAGAAGAAACAAAACACCTACATTATCTTGAAGTGCCAAATTACACAAAGCCAGAAATACTGACAGTAAAGCAGCACGGTGACAACAACTCCCTACACTGAGCTCTGGAGTGTGAGAACTAAAGATCCTCAATTAATGTGATTAATTGGATTGACTTTAAATGGCAGACAACATGTGTATGCCCAAACATGTTCAACTCCATGAGGACCAGACTTCAAGGTTAAATCCCACTGGGCCTACAGCTTAACAGATCTAAAATGGACACCGTCATTTAAGTCAACATAGTAGTGTTCACACATTTTATTCACATAAAGCATTTCCAAGTAAAACAGGACATGCAACTGAATAAAATTTAAGGGAAAAAAAGCAAAAACTGTTTTGATGACAGATGGTTGGAGGGGA